AGTGCTCCGCGAACGGTGCCCGGCCTTTACGGACTGGGCCGTCCGCTGCCTCGCTGACGCGCGTGGCCCAGCATGCCTTCGAACAGCTTCTGCGGCCCGAGGGCTGCTTGCAGCCGAAGGCTGGACGGACGTGCCTTCCTGGGAGTGCGTGGTTCAGGGAGCCCGCCCACCCGACCGACCTGACGGGATCGCCGAGCCCGGTGAATGGAGGCATGGGTGGCAACACTCTGCGTCGCGTACACGTAACCTTTTCTTCCGCGACCACGTGCTGCTGCCTTCTCTGCCACCTCCTCACCGCGCGCTCTTGCGTTCCCAGGCCGGTCCGCATGCCGGTGCATGGCTGCAAGCAATCCCCAGCGATTCCCACACGTCGCTCACGCCCGAGGCCATGCAGATCGCGTTGCGTCGCCGGCTCCGGCTTCCACTCCCGCTCGCGCCTGGCCGTTGCGGGAGCGCCTCGGAACCTGGGTGCGGCCACCGTGCAGATGCCCTTGGAGACCATGCACTCGCGTGCCCTCGTACTGGCCTCCTGGCGAGGCGAGCCAAACTTGTTGAGCGGGCCTGGTGCAAGGTTGCACGGGAAGCCGTGGGGCCTGAGGGACACGTAGTGCCCCAACAATGGCTCGTCAACACCACTGCGCTGGGCGTCGCGCCCGACGACCGCAGGCGCCTCGACCTCGTCATCTACGGCGCCGCGCCACTGGGTGGTGCGCTCTGCTGCGATGCGACCCTAGTTTCGCCTCTCACGCGCGACGGCGAACCCCACCCAGGCGCGGCCGCGCAGGATGGAGCGGTTCTGCGCACCGCCTACCGGCGCAAACAAGCCACCTACCCCGAGCTCGCGGCAGGTGGCGCACAAGCCCTCTGCGTGCTCGGCTGCGAAGTGGGTGGGCGGTGGAACGCTGACGCAGTGAAGCTGGTCCAACGCCTCGTCGCACTCCGTGCGTACCGAGCCCCGCCTGCGTTGCGAGCCTCCGCAAAGACAGCCTGGGCCCGCCGTTGGTGGAGCGTGCTCTCCGTAGCGGTTCAGCAGGCCGTTGGTCACACGGCGTTAGGGCGCGCCCGGGCCATGCCGGGACCGGCACACACCGATGCGCCGGCCCTGGATGAAGTCCTCCACCTGGCCGACCCAGACGGGCCGAGCCGCCTGCCGCTGCGCTGAACCGGCCCTAACTCGGGACCGTGACCGTACTCCACTAGGAGCGGGACCTTCCTGCTGACGGAAAAAGGCGCGTAAAAAAAAAAAATCGTAGTCGTAGTCGTAGTCGTAGTAGTAGTAGTAGTAGTAGTAGTAGTAGTAGTAGTAGTAGTACTAGTAGTCGTAGTCGTAGTCGTACTGGTAGTAGTAGTATTAGTAGTATGGTGACTGCCCCTCCATGGATGGAACATTCCGCGGGCATGTGCACAATCACACTATGTCCGGAGTTACCTTTAATCCGCATCATTGGCATGAGACTTGCCCTCGGGAGGGGCATCGCATCACGATTGCAGTTTACACTATTAATTAAGGTGGTGAACACCCTCAACCAAGATGACATCGACACATTCAGTCGACTACAGTTTGTGCTGCCGGCGTAAGGACCACGAGCCAGCACCTAGTGTGCGATTTGTGGCCACTTCAAAGTGCGCCCTTTCGGGCCACTTGTACACTCGCAGATCCCATCTTTGTACAGTGTAAAAATGTAAAAAAATGTGTAAAATTGCAACAAATACTGGACTGTGATTTTCGCTCGATGGCTCGGGGAAACACACCATGTTTTTCTTAATTCTTGCATGTTGAACTGATTCATTGCTTCAGCCTTCTGCTGGAGTATCTCTTGACTGCTGAGTAGGTGAACTTGCCCGCGTGAATGTGTGCTCTCGACGCACCGGTGCAAAGCACTGCCACATACCCTACGCCAAGCTGAGTGACCAGCTTGGAATGGAAAATAGAAGCAGTAGTACTAGCAGTAGTAGTAGTAGTAGTAGTAGTAGTAGTAGCAGCAGCAGTAGTAGTGGCAGCAGTAGTAGTAGCAGTAGTAGCAGTAGTAGCAGCAGTAGCAGTAGTAGCAGTAGTAGCAGTAGTAGCAGGAGAAAAGGTAGTAGTAGCAGCAGCAGTCGTCGTAGTGGCTTCAGCAGTGGTGGTGGTGCTGGTGGCAGCAGTAATACTAGAGTCGTCGTCGTGGTGGTGGAGCAGCAAGCAGTCTATTGTCACACTGTTGCGGCGCATGCAGTCGATTAGGAGTTTTCAAGAATTTTTTTGCGCTTTGTCGACTCCTGGCAGTGACCGGTGACATTTCCTTTGGCCGCAGCCCGAAGCACGTTTATTCGGCTTTTGCACGGGTGGCACCAACTACGGCGCCGCAGTGGCTGGGCTGCAGTGGACCGTGATCGCCTCGGCCGCCTTGTCGGGAAGTGAGCCTCAGCCCGAGTCGAGTCTCTGCAAATGTGGCCGTGCACCAGCACTGGAGGGTCACCCTTGGTCGCCTCAGTTTCTCTTGCCTTTTGGGAGTTGCTAGGTTTTGTTGCAATTAGGTGCATGATGGGTACAAGTTTCGGTACGTTAGTGAGGTAGTAAGTAGAAAGTAGTATATGATTCAAGTAGTAAAAGCAGTCACGTAGTTAAAAATAGAAGATTGTACAGTATAGTACGTAGTAAGTAGTAGATAAGTCATTAATGAATAGGAGAGAGAAACTTCAAACATAAACTTCGTGCATGCATGCACCAGTGCGCAGACAGCATATGCTTCCTTGTCTTTAGGCCGAAACATGAGGAGGTACTCCCAAGACTCCGTGCCCAGACTCGACTAGTGCAAGTTCTGCGCCGACACCCGAATTCTCGAAATTGGCTCCCAACTTGCAGCGGGTCCAGCGCCCTAATTCGGCGGGCGCTGGGGGCCGAGGCACGCGGCCTCGCACACCAGCGCTCCGTGCGCTCACCGCAGGCTCTGCGAGCTGCTGCGCGCGATGGGGGCAGCCGGGCCAGCGAAGCGGAGCGTTGCAGCGCGCATTTGGCTTCATGCTATTGGGCGGAGTTTAGAGCACGCCGACAAGCACGCCCCGCTTGGTGAGGACGTCGTGCTCACGGAGGCTGAGCAGCCATCCATGCTGCCCTCGGTTATTGAAATGCATCATACGACAGCGAACACAGCCGTGCGCCAAAAAGAAAGCCAATCTCCTAAGTTGTACGCCTCCACATGAGGTTTGGTTGCAGTAAAGCAATAACGCATAGGCTGTTCAGAAGTCTGCGGTTGCAGTAAAGTTTGCAGTAGTAAGCATTTGAGAAGGGTTTAGTTGCAGTACAGTACTAAGTTTTTCAACCTCCAAAAAAGCTGTAGTTGCAGCAAACTTTGTAGTGCTCGTTACGCCTGTATAAGGGGGCTTTAGTTGCGGCAAAGTTATCCTAAGTTTTCAGCATCTACGAAGGCTGTAGTTTCAGGCTTGTACTTGCAGTGCAATGGGAAGTCCTGGGCCTCTAAAACTGCAGCTTTAACAGGAGACCTCGCCAAATCTGTTCAACAATTTTGCATTTGCAAGGCGGAGAAAGGTGTTCCCTTAAATTGCATGGTTTTCTTGAAAGTGCCTTCGTCATTGAATCGCTGGAAGAATGCCCTTCAAACCTGTGTAGAGGCTTATGAGGGTTGTATTAATCCAAGGCATGGCATATGGCACACGAAAAAAATTTGTTCGCAAGATGTTTCCTCACAGCGGGATGCCCAGCTTGCGTCATGGCTGAGCGTGGCGGCTGCTTGGTGTATGTGCCGGGGTGCTTATTTGCGAACGAATGCGGGCTGGGGATTCAACCGACGGTCCAAATATTCAAAAGTTTTTGCATGTGAGGCAGGGTCATTGGTGTAACCCAGCCGCCACCACATTGCCCCCCTCAACAAGCTTCCCCCCTGCTTTCAGTTCCGGACATGCCGGCCCGTGGACAGCACGCCCGTGCAGGACGCTGCGGGGGGAACATAGTGTGCTCCCAAGTTGCTGCTGCAACGCCGGCGGCCCTTGCAAACGCTGGCCCCACTCCCGCTGCTGCTTCGCCTTTTCGTGTCGTGGGTCGCGAGTGGGATCATCCGGGCTTTCAAGCTCCCAGGCCACGATCGTCAGCCCCCTTGCCGAGATGGCCAGCCCCCGACCACACGCTGACCATGCAGTTGACCGGCAAGCACCCAACATATCCCGATGCGCAGCGCTGCCGTCTGGTGCGGGCTCGCCAGAGGGCGCCAGCAGGGGCGAGGCAAGCAACGATGCACCGCACCGGAGGACTGCGCTGGACTGACCCGCTAGGTGACCGCCAGGAGTATTAGAGACAGGACCCCTTCAGGCAGGCAGAAACAGGCGCCGGAGAGAGAGTTTTCGTGATTTGGGAAAGAAACTCCATGAACCGCATGAGTCCAGGTGTCGCCAACGAATTTGTCAGTGGTTAGAGTGTGGTAGGTGTGTTCAGCCGTCGTGCTTGTGTGAAGCCGTGTAATTTTAGACGGCGGACGGGCGGCCTGGAAGTGGTTTGAGTTTTGCACGTGCAGCAAACAATCGATTGAGTTTTCTAGTGAGGTTAGATGAACTGCGTAGATGTATGGGGCAGCCATAGCAAATCGTTGTGCAACTCACACACAGCCGTCGATTCCCCCTACCCTGTGATTTTCACCCGTAGGTAATTTGCACCGGATTGCCTCGAACCCGAAATTGACACGGCATTTGTTCCGATATCTTGTTTGCTGATTGGCGTCAAGCGTTGGGCAAGCCGTCCGTAGCCGGATTGGTGCCAGTCGGCCATGTTCTTTCACTGTGCTGGCCTCGCTATGCCTTTAACCAGTGTTTTGGCCTTCCGACGTCGCTGCAGGATTCACAGCGTGTCCCCGACCCAATGTCGAACCAGTATGCGCAGGGAACATTGATATGGGTGGGTTGCCCAGACAAGCGCAGAGATTGAAGAACCGGTAGAGCGCCAAATGGGCGAAGTAAGCACACGGACAGGTGAAACACGAGGAAGAAGTCTGGATACAGGCTGAAATTGTCGGATGTGCAGCGAAGCTCGCCTTGCTCGATTTGTGTTTCAGGCTGAAATTGTCACATCGAGCGAGAAGGCGCCCAGCACAGCTGCTGCGCTTGCCAGCGTTGAGTCCAACCTTTCAGGAGATCATCGTCAAGACAGCCGAAGATCCAAATGGTCGACTGGTCTTGGGACCAAACGAACCGATTTTCCTGAGGAGCATCGATCCAGCAAAATCACCTTCCGACGTTGTTTGGACATTCGCCGCGCCTTGGAGGACGTCCGATGTTTTCACATCAGAGGGCTTGTCGGTGCTAGATGATTTGACGCAGCTCATGCCTCAAATGGCGCGACAATGTGCCACAACGAGATCTCACGTTTACTTCGCCGGGGATGCGAAATTGCAGGTTGACACACTTACACGAGCCGGCGGTTCTCAGCTCACTACAGCTTGGACCCGAGTGTAGTCTTCAGTCCATGACCTGTCTCTGCAAGATATCACTAAGGAATCGTTTCGATATAGACAAAATCTACACATTTACCGGACCTATCCTCATCGCGTGGCACCCAAATGACCGCATGCAGCGGCACGCGGGATTCGAATCCTTTTCCATATAATCTTGTTGTGACGAACAAGGCACTGAACCCTTTCAAGCATATCCCGGGCCTGTATGATGAGGAGGCCGATTTGTGGTACGAAGCGCAGGACGAATCTTTGCATCCTTTGCCGACAGATTCTGAAGAATTTCATCACGACAAAGCCATCTACAAAGTGTCGAGCTTAGTAAGCTATTCCACGCGTATTTTATGCTAACCTGCTGATGGCCAAAGTCTTGATTCATCGTAGTGCCTGCTATGTTCAAGGCCGCATGTGTTCAGCACATCAAACGCGTCGTATCGCGGTATTTGTGATCGCCACAAGTCCCAGCCGAATCCTTAGTAGATGTTTCGTTGCCAAGGCACTAATGGCAGAACGGAGATTGTCCTGCAGATGAAGCTGCGCGCGCTGAGGACGGTTCTCATCAGCGGAGAGTCCGGTGCAGGCAAGACGGAGACCACAAAGCAAGCGCCTTGGTAGTAGTGTCGGCCGGCGCATGCAACACGCAAATCAAGCATGCTTGCAATCCTCTGGCTGACTCAGGTTTGTGATGAAGTTTCTAGCCCTTGCAGGATCTGCCGACGGTCAGGCATTTGCTTGCAATGGTGTATACTGGTTCTTGCATGGCCAGCGAACGTGCGCAACAGCGTGTTGACAGGTTACCGATGTGGAAAAGCAGGCTGACAGGGCTACTTCGACAGCCGTAGTTGCAAGTGGCCTCGCTTGATGACGGTCACGGAGCATCTCTTGAAGCTGTGCTTTCTCGCCAAACCATTTATTCTTTGTTGCCGAGTGAATGATTGATTCTATGAGCAGAATCGCGGCGAGGTGTTGGAGTCAAATCCTTTGCTCGAAGCTTTTGGGAATGTGCAGCCCTTGGATGATCATGACTTCGATCAATGCGGTCTTATGCGATTTCGTGGGCCTGGTCAGCAAATTCCACTCAACCGCAGAGGCCCGAACCCTCCGGAATGACAACTCCAGTCGCTTTGGAAAGTTCATCGAGCTTCAGTCCGGGTCCCGATTCCACATCGGTGCTCTGCTGTGGTGTGCGCATTGCAGGTACAGTGTCAGTTTGCTCAGTCAGCCTCACCTCGGCATTAGCATCCCAATTTCCTTCTATACACCTTGCACTGTCCCGGTCTCTTAACTTCTCATTTTGCGGTTCTGGCCCAAGTCTGAGGTGGTGAAGTTGGCACCCCTGCTGCGTATAATGTGCTCCCGCCACGGCTTCAAAAACAGGCAAAAGCATGCCATGCCGTGGGTGGAGCCTCATCGGAGCCGCTTCGAAGATGGGCGCGTCCCCGATGACTTCTCACAGTAGGGTCCGATGATAATCCCTGTTCAAAGCAACTGACCTTCCGTTCGTTGGTATCTAACCTTCTGACCTTTTCGTTTTGGGAGCCTTAAAGGGGCTTTGAAAGCAGGATTTAAAGTGAGCATTGAAGACCATGAACAGTGAACAGTGGACAGCAACAGCAGCAAAAGCAGGAGCAGTATAAGCAGCCGGAACAGATTGCAAATTGGAATGGGGGTGGGGCAGGGCAAGCTCAAAAATTATGTCGTGAATATATTGTTGCCAGAGGGAAAATACACGACACTGTTCTCTGTAGTAGTAGTAGTAGTAGCAGCAGCAGCAGGAGTAGTAGTAGTAGTAGCAGCAGCAGCAGGAGTAGTAGTAGTAGCAGCAGCAGCAGCAGGAGTAGTAGTAGTAGTAGTGGTAGTAGTAGTAGTAGTAGTAGTAGTAGTATAGTAGTAGTAGTAGTAGTAGTAGTAGTAGTAGTAGTAGTAGTAGTAGTAGTAGTAGTAGAAGTGGTAGTCGTGGTCGTCATGGTAGTTGTAGCGGTAGTGGTAGTAGTAGTGGTAGTGGTAGTAGTACAGTCTAAAGTGGTATAGTGGTAGTATAGAAGTAGCAGTAGTAGCAGTAGTAGTAGTAGTAGTAGTAGTAGTCGTAGTACTAGTAATAGTCGCAGTAACGACACTGTCCCCTGTCCAATGCACGTGTGCATGTGCTCGCGCGCGCTGTTGACTGTTCCTGCACGCACTGTTGCCTATAATATATGCTCGCACACGCTGTTGCATGTGCTCGTGCACACTGCGCGCACGCTCTGCGCACACTGTTGCCTGTGCTCGCACACACTGCGCGCACACTGCGCGCGCACTGTTGCCTGTGCTCGCACACACTGCGCGCGCACTGTGCGCGCACTGCGCGCACGCTGTTGCCTGTGCTCGCACACACTGCGCGCGCACTGCGCGCGCACTGTTGCCTGTGCTCGCACACACTGCGCGCACGCTGTTGCCTGTGCTGGCACACACTGCGCGCGCACTGCGCGCGCACTGCGCGCGCGCTGTTGCCTGTGCTCGCACACACTGCGCACGCACTGCGCGCGCACCGTTGCCTGTGCTCACACACATTGCGCGCGCACTGTGCACGCACTGCGCGCACGCTGTGCGCGCACTGCGCGCGCGCTGTTGCCTGTGCTCGCACACACTGCGCGCGCACTGCGCGCGCACCGTTGCCTGTGCTCGCACACACTGCGCGCGCACTGCGCGCGCACTGCGCGCGCACTGCGCGCACGCTGTTGCCTGTGCTCGCACACACTGCGCGCGCACTGCGCGCGCACTGCGCGCGCGCTGTTGCCTGTGCTCGCACACACTGCGCGCGCGCTGTTGCCTGTGCTCGCCCACGCTGCGCCCACACTGCGCGTGCACTGCGCGCGCACTGCGCGCGCGCTACCACTACCACCACTATCACTACCACTACCACTACCGCTACCACTACCACTACCACTACCACCACTACCACTACCACTACCACTACTACTACACTACTACAACTACTACTACTACTGCTGCTACTACTACTACTACCACTACTACTACTGCCACTACTGCTGCTGCTTCTGCCACTACTACCACTACCACTACTGCTGCTGCTGCTACTACAACTGCTATTATTATTATTACTACTAGTACTACTATTACTACCTATAATACTACCACTGCTTCTGGCAGTACTACCACCACTGCCACTACTACCACTTTCGCTGCTACTGCTGCTGCTGCTGCTGCGGCTGCTGCTGCTGACAATGGACAGTGGACAGTGTGTGTGAGAGGGTCTGAGCTTGTCGAGGTAGGACAGCAGTACCTGCACAACAGCAGCCCGGAATCCCTCCCCCACAATTAAACAGAATCCCTCCCCCACAATTAAAAAGGTCGCGAATTAACCGACCCCTCCTCCGGTTAATTCGCCTTTCCCCACCTTTTGCCCTGCCTTGGCACGATACCCTTTTAGACCTAATAACTGTCCACTGTCCACTGTCTACTGTCCACTGTTTGTTAGCACTGCCAGCCGTGACTGGAGACTTTCAGGCCGGCTGGGCACGTTTACTAATACAGAGTTTCATGTGCAGAAAATAGGCTTTTCAGGGTTAGCTTTCTGGGGGTATGTTTCAATGTGGAGGATTCAGAGGTTTTGTGGGTTGGACGAAATCTTTCATTGTCTTAAGCTTGTGCCCTGATCAGCACTTGTTACCAGTATGCTCATGTCCATCAGCAACAACTTCACAGCTGCCCACACCCTCGACACTAACACCATAAATTGAACCGCCTGGTGTGACAGGTGAGGGGGGGGGGGCGGGGTGGTCGATTAATGTACCCTAGGGGTAATCATTGAGATCATTCAGGCTTCCAGCTTACTCTGCAAGTGTGCTGTTGCTTTGAAGTTACATGTATCGGGGCTTCCTTTGTGCTTTTTAGCTGAAGGGTTACTGCATTGAGTAGGTTATTCAAATCATTTCAACCGCTATCAAAATGGCGGCTACTACTCCAAATCCAGCCACAAGTGCTGGCCGCCAACAACATCATCATTGAATGCTTGGTTGTGTGTGATCTGCTTCGAGGAATGATGATTGGATAACTTCATGTCGCGTCAAACATAACCGTGTTACTTGAGTGCTTTGTTTTGTTCCAGAGATGTCTTCATGCGAAGTAACGGTGCCCTGACTCATTGATTCGCATCCCTAGAGTAGATAGAATGCTTTCTGTGAAACCCAATATACTACCACCTGCTCGCGCGCCCATTTCACTGTTCACTGTTTGCTGTGCATTGTCCACTGTACTGTAGCCAGTTGCATTGACTGCGGGCTTGCTTGGCACATTTGCAGGGATAGCCTAACTCAGGTTGCATCGCCAGCACTCTGCATGGGCCCAACCCACCACAAACTTGCAGGGGCCCTTGCGGACCAGCCAACTGCAAGGGGCAGGTTAGGCCAACCAAACGCAGGGGCAATGCGCCTCAACACAGGAATTCAGAATATGTTTGGGTGTTGTGAATGTTGTGAATCACGAGTAGTTGCCATCCCTATGAAGTGAGACTTCATGGGCCTGACTGTGCTGCCCAAGCTTTTTTGCCTGCCTTGCGCTTCTTATGTCGCCAGGCATTCCTGCTCGCGTGGGACTTCACAGTGTCCTGGGAGCTTGGCATCTCGGCTGAGGCCGTGGAGTCGGGGCCTTTTGTAACAGTAGACAGTGGACAGTGCACAGGGGACACGGTCGTAATAGTAGTAGTCGTACTAGCACTTGGCGAAGGAGGCGCGATAGGTTCTGGGTCTTGCTTTGGTGACATGGCTTCTGGATCATCGCTCGGCATAGCAAAGCATACTGCAACTGATGCATGCTGAAGGGCCTCCGCCACGTCTTCCTCGTCCTCGTTTGCATGGCAGTAGTGCCGCCTGAAGGTTCCCACGTCGAGCCGCTGCTGGATTTCCATGATGACATGCTCAGAGGCGCGTTGACCGCCCTCTGGGGTTGCAAGCAACAAGGCAGATGCAGTGTGTCTAGTAGCTCCATGCACTGTCACATGTGAGCCTTTGAATTTCACATTCCAACGTCTGCGGCCGGTGAGTGCGAACATCACTTTCGTGACATGGGTCACTGCTTTCCACACTGTTTGCCTGGCCATCCACGGTTGCTTTGCTTTTTTGGTTTGAGCTGGGAATATGTAGCTGCTGCCAATGGGCCAGCAGAAGGCTTTGGACGAGCGTGGCGGAAAGTCTTGAAACACGCCTGGGTGGGACTTCCTGAATGGCTCAAGTGGGGGCAGCACACATCTCTGCACACCTTTGTCCATCACCTCCCTGAGTGTGCTGACAACATCCGGAGCAAGACGAGCAGCGATGCAGTCAGCCCCAAGTTTGCCCATTCCTTGGAAGTCTTTGTTGTCTTCCCGCTTTTGGAACAAGATGTGAGGAGCATCTTGCATGTGCCCTCCATCCAGGAAAACATCCGAACCTCGAAGTTGCAATGCCTCAGAAATTCGACGGGAGGTAACCATCGTGATCCATAATGCCATGACATACCGTGGCCCGGCAAAGTAAAGGCTCACTGCCAGGAACAGCAAAAGGTCTTCCTTGGGAACGAACAAATGCTGGAGGTCTGTCTTCGACAGCTTTTTACCTTTGTTCCATGGCTTGCGCTTGGCTTCTTGCACAGTGGACTGTGTCTTCGACCTTCTTTTCTGCAACTTGCCCTTTGCGTCTGGCACAGTGGACAGTGAACTGCAGGACAGTGAACTGGTTAGTCTTTTTCAGGGTGCCATGGGGTCTGGTGAAACACTACTACTGGATACTCTAATGTTGCCTTGAGCCAGGAGCTTCTGTTGCGTTGCACTTGGAGGGATGATGTCACACTGTTCGCTGTTCACTGTGAAAACCATTTGCCTTCAGACCCGAGCCCTACAATACCTATGCAACATCACATGAATGCTCCCCTGGCAGGTCCGAAAGCCAAGCTGCTGTCCACTGTTCACTGTTCAGCTGTCCACTGTTGACTGTTCACTGTCCTCGCCTGCAGCAGCGGCGCCGCGGCATTGGCTCCACGGCAAGGCCGGGTAAAGTGTCATCCCTAAACCCCCAAAATGCATGCATCAGCTTGCGCTGTCTGCCTGCTTTGCTGCATGTTCACACAGATTCAGATGAACTTTGCAGTGCTACCTTGCCGCCGGTGTTTAAATTCGACAAGACCACTGTGCCCTGTTCCCACTGTCCCTTGTTGACTGTACATATTTTGTTGTGTGCCTGAAGCAATGGCTGACACGGGTTCGGCGGCTGGATCCACGATTTCGACTGACGGCTTTGAGGCAAGGCAAGG